ATTCATGAAGCCTTCAAGAGACTTGATCATGTAAACCATTTAATTTTGATTACAGCTTATTGACACATCTTTTTAGTAGCTTTGTAAGAGTGATTGCAACGATTCTGACGAATACATTTTCATTGTAGGTTAATGACAGATTCTTAGCTTTGAGTGATGATGAAGTACAACTTCTCGAAAATCCAGAGCAGGGACCGCCGATCCCTGCAAGGCAACTTCCACATCACGAAAGTATTGCAGGACCATCTTCACCCAAATCCTATGTCAGGGGTACAATTGTTTCTAGTGATATAACCCCAGTACCCGAACATACAACGGAGAGTGCTGATTTTGGGGTATTATATGAGATGCTAAAATCTCAGGAACAAATAAGCTTAAATATACAAGAAACTGTTACTGGTATGAGTGCAAAGATGAATACTGTGGTTGAAGCATTGTCCACCCTAATAGGTTTGGTGCATAGATTAGTTGAAACCAAGGCTGAGAAGTTCGCTGAGAAAACAATATCCGATACAAGTAAGAAGACCAGCAGTAGTGGTCATCAGCAAAAGAGGAAAGTGGACCCCCCTGCATCTCAATACCAATTTAAGAGAAGACGTAGAAAAATTGATGATGTGGATATTGTTGCTCCTGTAAATATAGGTGTACCTGAAGAAACAATAAGAAATATTGATGTTCCCTTACAGGCCGGAGACGCCGAAGAACTAATAAGAGAAGCACAAGATGCAGATATGTGTGATGAGATAATCCATGAAGACTTTAAAGAAGTGGAATGAGCAATAAAGGGTGTTCTTGAATCTCTGGCCCAATCAGTAAGTGCGTCATTCTAATTTCTAATTAATGATGTACATTCCTACTTTATTAGGGCTAACAATATTTTTTTAGACACGTCTTTTGAGTTATGATGTACATACTGATTCAAAAAATGGTGATCCCCAAAAGGTCCAAGTTTCAGATGAAGAAATCTTAGATGCACCTGAGTATCAACAACTTTCTAGTCAAAGCCTCAGTTCTAATGCAGACCAATATGCTATAGTTATAAGTTAATAATATAGCTAAATGCTTTGAAGCATATCTTATATACTCTTATTTCGTGTTATTCATTGACTGTTTTATTTTGCAGCTACGTCCTCCGGCTTCAACTATTGAGTATCCTGGTAGATCATTCATACCAATTGAAATGCAGGAAGAAATAGACCAGTGCCTATCCAGATACACCGGAAGGTAAGTAAATGTTCAACACTAGTTTAATGTTATGCAGATTTTTTCCTTTTAATTAAGCGGAACTATCTTTGGTCTCAATGTAGTGACGTTATCATTAGCAGAGACCATATTTTGATTCATCGATTGAAACTGGAAGATATATTATTAAATAAGTGGCTTGCAGACGAACATGTTGATATATTTGCTGTCATGCTGCGTGAACGAACTTTAAGGCGACCAGAGTTGTGCCGGCCTTACCTGTATGTTTCACCAGTGTATGAGGTATGTTCTAGAACTTGTAAACTCTATTCATACAACTTAAATTCATATATTCCTTGCACATTTAAACTAATATATTTATGTAGATGCATAAGACATATGGTAGCAAACCTTATGTGAAACATATCACCAACGAGGCCGTAAAAGAAGCAAAAACCATTTTATTTCCAATCATTCATAATCAACATTGGATCTTGTTGGTTTTGGATCTCAAGTTGAGAAAATGGCGAATATACGACTCACTACCCAACCAATACATAAGGCTGGTGTTATGGAAGTTGTAAGTATATTAAACTAAATTAAAAGTAACACAATTGCATTCAAAGATTAACATAGTAACATCTTAATATCATTCAGGTGAATATGTTTGCTAGAGATTTCGGTGATTCATTTACATCCAAAATCAATAAATGGCATGTTCGTCTGCAAGTACATGGAAACTAGTGCAGGGCGAAGAAGTCGACTGGAGTGCACATATGAACTGGCAGGATCATATGGAGCGATTTAGAGCAGAATTTGTTTATGACATGTGCTTATTTTCGAGGACTTCTGATTAAAGTTGTATAATTTTTCATTGCATATTTTGTTTAGGTAACTGTATATGTGATAGCTTCATGGTTACTGTATATTGATTATTTGTATAGCTTACTCACGTGTTTGTAGCTTGCTGAATGTTGGTCAACTGCCTTAGTTTATATCTTGGCACAATGTTTATAGCTAACTGTTAGTATTTTTTGTATAACACTTGAGTAACATGTTGGTCAACTGCCTTAGTAACACGTCATATTTTACATCCTGAGTAACACGTGGGTAACACGTGGATAACACGTGAGTAACACGAGAGTAACACATATGCTACAGCCTGAGTAAAACGGGAGTAACACGTGGATAACACGTGAGTAACACGAGAGTTACGCATCTGCTACATCCTGAGTAACACGGGAGTAACACGTGGATAACACATGAGTAACACGAGGGTAACGCATCTGCTACATCCTAAGTAACACAAGAGTAACACATGGATAACACGAGAGTAACACGTAAATAACACCCTGAGCTAATACATATACTAATATTACCTATCCTATTTAATTTATAATATAAAATTTATCTAAAATA